GTCATGGCCAGATGTCGCACACGAGGTGTGTGCTCAAATAGATCGATGAAATGATCCGGAGAAAATTCGCAGTCTTTCATAGATAAATATTGAATAGATGACGATATGACAGATAGTTTTGTGAAAATTAAACTGCATAGATCAGTTTCATTGAAATCACAATGCATTACTTTCGGTAGACACCACCAGATGTTTGTGATAAAACAAATAAAATCATATGTTATTCCAACGGAACATTTGTTTAGTCTTAAATGAATGAGAGAAGAAAAAGATAGAGGTTCTGTCAACAATATGTTAATTTTTCGAATAGATCTAATGTTAACGAGTGAAAGTGATCGCAAATGGATGAATTGTTCGAACTTAAAACCATAGGAAAGAAAATAATGAACTATATTTGGAGTTTCATCGTCGTCTGATAGATAAAGCGAAGTAATGCGATCGACAATGCGTGGTAAATATTGTTCGCACATCCAATTGAATTCACGTTTGAAAATTGAGCGAAAATCGAGATGATAATTTCGGTAATGAACCAAGAGTAATGTATTGAAGCGAGTATTCAAACGATGAAAAGCTCGAAAGAGATGAACGGCATCGAGAAACTCGAATAGATCGAGTAAGAGTTCGTTAGCTAACGATTCAAACTTCATGTATTTTGTCATTCTTACCGAAATGATGTCGAATACATTTTATATGATGATTGTGCATTAAAGCTTTTCTTTCCGCTGGCGATAGGGCACGAGGGAGAGGACAAAAAAAGAGAAGAGCACTTGTTTTGCCTTTGCATTTTGAATAACGTAAAACTGCAAAAAGAAAAAAAACTAGTTATAAAGAATAAACACGAAAAAGTGTGGCGTTCTTGCTTTTGATTTCCTTAAAAAATATAATTTTTTTGCATGTATTTTCTTGATATACCAAGCTCATATGAGCAGTATATATGGGGTGTGAGTGTGCTTGTGGATGATTTATTTGTTTTCTATTCACATCCACACCCTACAGTTATTAGATGTTAAGTGTTATTGAATATTGTCACCATCATTGTTTTGTAAGAGTTTAAATCATTTTTTTTATGTAGATTGTATGTTCTGATTACCTTTTGCTTCAACGAGATTTCAAAACCACTAACTATTTTGATTGATTATGATGTTTATAGTTTGTTTATTTATTAATTAAATGAATAAAATAATTAATTTATTAAAATAGGTCATTTGAAATTAGCTGGTTTTGGTCCAACGCGTCAATGCCATATGCCTGAATGAATTTTAACTCATGAACTAGTAACATTATGGTATCGTCCATCTGAAGTACTTCTTAATGCAGTTACCTATGGTTAATTGTATTTTATTTATAAAACAAATCTTTGAATATTTGAAGTTTTATTTTATTTATAAAACAAATCTTTGAATATTTGAAGTTTTGATTGTTTATTTGCTGAATTGACGCTTCGAGAACCATTATCTCGTGGTAAGTGTGAAATTGATTAATTATTACTTATCTTTCAGTAAATATTTTTTTGCATGTTATGTATTCCTTTGGAGTCTTTTTGGGACACTCACAATTTCTGAATGACCTGAAATATCTCAATGTCTTTATTATCACACAGGTTTTCCTAGATTTGTTTTTGTTGATGTTAAACTTTCTCTTTTACCAATGTTTGGTGAATGTCTACAATTTCTTAAAATAAAAGCTATTAATCGTTTATTTGAAGAAAAACTTAAAATAGGATTTAATGATATACTTATATCTATTGGAAGAAAATTCACAAAATCAGGACTAAATTTAAGAAAAGAGATGAATAAAATTTAAAAAGATGAAAAGATGATATTGACATAACGATTTCATATATTCGTTTATTAACATCACCTTTAAGTGGACCACGAATGACGACTAAAATAACAAAGAAAGAGCTTCGGAAGATAATAAAAGAAAAGAAAAAGTATTATATCCTACACAAAAAAAAAAACAAATTAAATTATCAACACAATAATATTTTTAATCATACCAATAATTGCTAATTCTGATGCACAATAGTCTCCTAAATATAATAAATGAAAGAGACAATAATTATTAGCAATAGATATAAAATTAAAATTAAAAGTACATTTAATATCTTCAGAAGTAAGGTCAAGGTTAAAATCTCCTTATTCATTTATCAATAGTGAAACTCACCCGCAATTTGGTACAACAATTGATACATTTTCTATATCATGATGAACCTTTTCTGCTGCACGACGAATTTCTTCTGGTATTCTATATTAATATAAGAATAATATAATAATAAAAAATCTAAATAATTAACATAATACCAACTTTTATGGTTACTAGTCAATGATGATTATGTTTAGTGTATAATAAGTCAAATATCTTTTGATTTTTAACTTCATCAATATTCCATAAACATAGAAATGCACCATTGAATGAAAATTCAACAGCATGTGCACGACCTAATACATCACCGAAACCAATAATACGAACAATCTCATCATTTATAGATATTTTTTTGGAGCTGGAAAAATTGTAAAGACAATAGCACGAGGAGAACATCTAAATAAAAGAAAACAAGAAATGAAAGAATAAATTCCTAAATTTGCATCATCATCATACGATAAAGACATTGAAAAAAAACTTAACAGATTACATATTACATAGAGTGTGGGGTGCGGGTGTTGGTCTTCTTTTCATCCACACTCTCGGTCTTTTTTATTTTGAATTATTCCAAATATTCCTTGCAGCGACGACTGAAGATGAAGTCATAAATACTCTTGTGATATTCATCATATTCTTTATTTTATTTTTTGAATGTTATTTATTAAACTTTTTTTAAAATTAGAAATCGATAAAAATCATCAAAAAGGTTTTTATTTACTACTAAATAAGAGGTCTAATAGCTTATATTTAATATAATATTCAATTAAAATAGACAATCATCAGATGAAGATAATGACTCCAGAAACAAGTCAATACTGAATTGACTTTGTTTTTCAATAATACCTCGAATTCAACACAATGTTGAATGTCTTACTCCTGATTCCTTGTCAATAGACCATGTTCTTTATATTGAAAATTATTCTAAACATACTCTCGTTAATCTTCAACTTGAAGTGGCATCTCGTATTTTCAATGGTATGTTATCATCTTTTTTTCTTATTCTTTAAAACTATTTGAATGTTAGAGTGTGCAGTTTTAACGATTGTCTTTATTTACTTGGTGAAAGTCTTTGTCAATTACAAATATTTATTGTAAAACGCAAATTTTATTTAGCGATATTACCATATAATAAATATCATTAAGATAATGTATGATTTAACAAAACAATGAAAATGAGAGTTTCTAATGATCTATTATTGATTTTGTCTTCTAGAAGTCTTTTTTAATGATTTATTGTGAAATCGGTAGCTAGAAACTTTTTCGAATGAATATGACTCAAATAAAAAAAGCAAAAACTAATTATATTAAAAGAACACATTATACAAACAGAAATATTTTATTATGAGACTTGTTGTGGAGTATGTAAGTCTAATATTATTGATCGTCGTCTACAATTAATCTCAAAGAGTTTGTTCACATGTAGATCAAATCGTTTCCTAAAGAATAATAATTTGATTGATGTTAGTATGAGACTACATTATTTTGACTTTTTCTTTCTATATTTCAAAGTTTTAAAATTGTTTTCAACGAGTAAAGGCTATACCATTGTCAATAGTATGAAAGACTTGACATTCTATCCCTGTTATAGATACTGCAAAAATTTATCAAATCAAGAAATCAAGTATTAAATAATAATAAGAAAATATTTCTCTAATAGTTCATTCTGAAAGTTCAGTATTTTGATAAATCATCTTGAATATCAGAATCTATTTCTAGTTTCACCAGTTTTCTACGAAAGCATAGAGAACCATTTATTAAGTGAATAGATCTTGCCACGCACAGCAAAATAATTAATTATCTAGGGTGTGGGTGTGGGTTAGGCAGAAGCGGATACCCATACCCACACACCCACATCCACACTCACACAAACACCTACACCATCGCCAATGTGGTTAAACCCATTAAAAATTTTGTTAAAATGACTTTAACGATAGCGTGATGTAAAAGTGTAATGTTAATGAAACTTGAACACGTTTTTAGGGCACTGTTCTGACTAGAAAGTTTCGTTTATGATTGTTGGGAAAGGCCAACATAGGTAGTTTCTGATTGTTATTGATCGGAGTATGGTCGTGTGCGAACCTAAGTGATTGATGTGGATTTTAATCAGAATGACACCTTAATTTGAGTCGTCAAGATGCAACCGGCTGATTACACATGGTGTATTGAGAAAATGATGAATAAATATGTATCGATAGAAATAGAAAAATGATTAGTATTTTAATGTTCTTTGCTTTCCTGAGCGTATGTATTGAAACGATACGTGCATATGAGTAATGCTTAGACTCAAACGTAATTGCACAACGGTTTTAGATGAAAGCTAACTACGCATTGATCCATCAATGTTTGTAAGTTTTCAATAAGATTTTTCGGTGCTTTCCTTTTTAAATGAAAACAACGCATCACAGAATCAGCATACTTAAGTTCTGAAAGCAGGAGAGATTTTAGAAGAGAAAACATGTAAAGCACTTGTACAACATACAACTGAAGTACTTCATAAATTTGTTTGTAGGATGCGCCTAGCATTTTCTCGAGTATAGAGACAGTTAACATCAAATGATATACAGTTCAATCACCTAATTTTGCTAGAAAAAATAAGTATCTTTTTATTTTCTAATAGCAATATCTGTTCAAAAACGTGTTTCTTCCTGAAGACAAATATGTTTCCAACACTATCTATTAAAGCTAAAGAAACAGTGACATCTTTATTCAATAGTTTTATTAGCTTAATTTTAAGAACGATAAGAAACTTTTTTGAATCGCTATATCATGGAAATCGATCTAACTAATATTGTTTTTCGGTGTTCATCATCACAGAATTAATGATTCAACTAGAAGAGCAGTGTTTCCGCGCCGTTTCAACTACCAGTATATCCATATGTAGTGCCAAATCCACTTCCAAAACCTCCATAACTTCCAGGGCCTCCACGACCCTCAAAACTGCCAAGGACACCATAACGTGGAGGAACACCATAATACGGAGGACCATTAAAATTTTCATCAACACCACAAAATCCTCCACTACCACCGATACCTCCATGATTTTCAAAGTCTCTTAGACCGCCGAAACCGCCACGATATCCTAAAATTATCATTATCAAATCGCTACAAATATTTGAATTGTTGTCGTATTTTACCGTGATGGTGACCAGGATAACTGTACATAATTAGAGTTTGTTGTTTTGATAAAAAAAATGAAGAAGATAACTAAGAAAGTATGACTATGCACATACACGTGTATAAATCAGCAAGCATTTATATGCTTGTGTTCTTCCCACTACTCAATTCTATTACCAATCAGCTTCTATAAAAAACGTATACAGACGCTCTAATGCGTGTCGCGTATGATTCAAATGTTTTGCCTCCAATGAAGACAATCATCTTCTAAATCACTCATTACATCCTGCACGTCTTACTCATTTTAAATGTCACACCTGACAGAGTAAGATATATGCATATTAAATTAGTATCAGATTCATCTCGTAGGGGCACGCTAATGAAAAATTAATCTTTATCAGGCGTTTTTATTTTCTGAATGTAACAAGAGCCTGGCTTTGACTTACGTTATTCATATGGGTGTGGGGTGTGAGCATGAGATGTAGGTGTGGTTGGAGTGTGGGTCGGTGTGGATGTGAGGTGTGGACGTCGGTGTGTGTATGTGGGTGTGGGGTGGGTGTGGGGTGTGGGTGTGGTGTTAATCTTCCTTTCATTCATACCCACATCCACACCAACACTCTACACCCCAACTGGATCATGTCAAACGACATTTTATTTTCCTTGTCTTTCAATAAACTATTTTTGGCTTAAAAAAATCAAGTAAAACCGTTGACGTTTAGTATTGAGAATTCTTTGTCAATAGATTTTTTTAGCAACACGTGCTCAATAGAAAAAAAATGATTGTGTTTGAATTTATTAACGTGTTATTGTTCAATGATATATGATCTGTATGCGTCATATGAAAATGATATAAGAGATAGAGACATGATCATTTATTGTAATACGCACTTTCATTGTAAATATAGTTCTCTTATATGCATTCCATACATCGATTATTTTATCAAACATAATTCATTTTGAAACTAAAGCATCTTCTTTTTATTATAAATGGAGGAGTATTCTTTATCGATGGCTATGTGAGAATATTCATAAAACTTTCTCGATAGCTATATCCTTATATCTTGGATTAGGTAGAAGAAAATCTTCTTAGTGAAAATGTAAATTAATTAATTCAAGTACTAAATGTTTGAACTAATAAGAAAGACACCATGCGAATGGCTGATTATGTTGAAAACGATCTCAATACCGAGAGAAAAGACTAACTATATAGTAAAAAATCATCAATTAATTAATACACAATATTTTCGTTGAGCAGACAAGACTACCTACTTCGTCAATAATCGAAAAACACGTGCAATATGTCAATCAAGACAACAAAAGAAGAACACTCTGTCTTACTGTTTGTTAATGTTAGTGAGCTTATCACAAAAAAAAACGAGAACCATTGATAGTATCATCCATGATGATAATTCATTGATTTCAAAAATGGCTGTTTCATATTTTTTTTAAGCATAAACATGTTTTAAATCTCATTTACTGTGATCATGACAACAGCGATGAGAGAAAGTATACAACAGGAGAGCAAATTTTTCCTACATGATCTTTATACATGGATTTCCCATTTTATTATTTTATTTTTACTGAAAACAAAGCAACGAGAAAAAGAAAACGAGCCAATAATAGAAAGAGCAATGATCTTCTAAACACGGAAAGTGTCAAATAGACTAAATTGGTATTCATCAATAAGTATGAATTTTCTTCCCCATAATACCTGTCTGAGTATCTCAAACTCGGTGTTTTTAGATTTTCATCTTAAAAAAACAATTAGTTCATTTGTTTTCAAAGTAACATATTCATGTAAGTATTGGGCTTCAAACTCTATCGTTGATAATTTTGTTATAGACACGAATGATTTAAAATCTCTACGAAGAAGAAAAGGTCAAATATTCCCATTAGTGTCTAGTATTTTCTCTACAAAATGTGACCCTTGACTTTTGTTTAATACATGTATCTCATTAAAATATTTTGACCAAAACGATTAGAAATTCAAAATTGTTTGAGAAATGTATTTTTTCCATGGAAAGCTTTAATTATTTACTTTATCATAATGATAGATGAAGGAATAATGTAGAACAGATAGTAAAAGATAGAGAAAGTAAGCTATACGAAGCGACATAATCAAGCATTAACTGAAAGTGATGAAAGTGTTGTCTTCGATACAATGAGAGCATCGCAATGTATCATCACGAGTTTTAAATAGTCAGAGGTGATGATCGATGAAAAAATGAAATGAATAAGAAACATGAATCACAAGACAAAGTAACAATGCATGAATAGTGACAATTGTCAGGAAAACACAACGAATGCAACAGATAATCGGGCTTGTACTGTCTTATCACTGTTTTCCTGTAACCATAGATGATCAATTGTGCTATTGAGTGCAATAATTTATGTGAGGTTCAAATTCAATTTTTATCAGACAGCTATACTGTTAGATTTATTTTTCATATGAATTTTTCTCTTAGAAAACAAATGTCGACGATGGATTACCAACAAAAATTGGTTGCACAATTACGAGCTGAAGCCAATATTGAACGGATTAAAGTGTCAGTGGCATGCAAAGATTTAATTAAATATTGTCTAGATCATGAACATGCCGATGCGCTCTTGAATATATTGACTCATAATTCTAATCCAGCTGTGAAAACATCACCTTGTCAGCCTTCATAAATAAGCTATTCAATGATCTTCGTATGATTCAAGAGATACTTTCGTGAGACTGAATCACGGTTCTGATATTGTTCATCAAATTAGATGAATGCAATTATCTTTCTTCACTTTGTCTGTGCAATATCTTGGCTACGTTTTAAATTAGAACAAAAAATCAGTGGGCATCTGCCTTTCTTTAATTCATTTTTTCCCTGTTGCCCTTGAATGATCAAATCTATCAAAATATATATATATTCATCATGCTTCTTTTTTTCTGTACATATTCATGCTTTTGAAGAGAGTACATAGTATTCATCAATATATTCGTTGAATTTTTTTGTCATTGCAACTTAGTATTGAACTTTATCTGCATCTGCTATTCATAGTAGAATTAGTGTCCAATATACACATTATTCTTTGAGAAAGATAGTATGTACATCAAGACTAATTGGCAATTCTTACATTGTTTCAGTTCGAACACATGTCCACAAATAAATAGAGCTCGTCCGTTTTTGAACAGAGATGTGTGTGGGGGATTTCTTCAACCACACGAATATCGACACCTATATCCACACTCTTGACGGCTGGCAACTGAATGTAGGGGAAAACCCAGTGAGATGAGTCAAGTGAACATCATTACTTGAGATATCGAAAAACGTCGGCTCAATCCTATACACATAAAAATCATGAAACAATCGAATTACGATTTTTTAATAAAGAGTAAAATATAAGGAGCTCACGTGTGAAACGGTGTTAAAAGCGCCAGACGATTAATCAGATAGAAATATCAAAGGAGAAATTTTTCATAAAGATCTTTTTCAATGTCACGTAGAGTATCTCTTACTGGTCAAAAATCCGACGCTGTATATTTATTTAGCTGTCTATCCATTAATGCATCACTGTGTAACAACGTGAAATATCACTACATAACAGATGTTGTTTGTTATCAATTATTATCGGTTTTCTCCCGTTTTTTTTCTCCTTACGTATTTAGATAAATAATAGTTTTGGTTAAGATACTTTATTTTTCTACTGATTGGATAATCCGTGTAATAACTACTGAGAAACTACCGTCGATATACCGATCAATATAATATATGCTCTACTGGCGGCTTGCCGTCAGTTTGTGTTTTTGAAATGTTGTATCATGGCGTACTGTATCAAAATGGATAACTATTTTTAAAGTTTGCTAAAATTGACAGAATTGAATCGGTTCCAATGGACTCTAATACAGTTGATGCATCTGAACCACTTGCAAAAGCCACACAGCGTGGATCGATCCTAGCTATGAGATATCTTTTTATTAATAAAATATATTCTGAAATTGTTTTCTTCTCGGTTAATTTGAATTTGCGAAGAAAACACATCACAATCTAGAAAATCATAGAATGTCTACTTATAACAAATGTTATTATCTTCTTGAAATGACACAAAAATTAAAGTATGAAGAAAACGAACAATTTGTTGCCTACGTTCTTAGACCTTAGCTAATTTGATAAATTTAAAACGATCTAATTCAGTTTGTGATGGCTTTGTTTTATTAATCATAACAGAACACGGTCTAACAAGCATCATAGTCTTCCAAATATAAGAGTTTTTCTTTCATCGAGATCTCTTCCTGTGCTGGAGACATTTAACAATAGGATTTCGTAGTATTGTATGTCAGAGACAATGATGTATTTTCTGCGATGAGCTTGGTATTTCTCTGAAAGAAAACACTTTTATATGATTCATTCGATTTTGCTTGAATATGATTTTGATAGTGAAGAAAATTTTTTTCAACGTTGTGTATCTGCGCATAAGGGTGTGGTTCCTTATCAAGACTAATCATACCCACCTCACATCTTATGAATTTAATGCTTCAAATGATTTGATAGAAAAATTTCCTCAACAATTTTTGTTGAATTTCCATCGGAAAATTCTTTACATTGAGTAAAGAAGAATCTTCGTAATGTGTACTAAATTTATACATTTATTTACTCAAATGCGCTTGTCTGAAATGATAGTTATGGTAGAGAATAAGAGAAAAAGTTACTTTAAATTCATGTTTGAGTGTGATTAAGTAAAACTAATCGCAAGGAAACAATCTACAGAGAGTGTTCACATATTTTTCATAAGTTTTGCTTGATTTTTTTGCAACGCTATCACTGCTCATCATCATGTTCATTAAAATTACTCAAGATCCCGCTGGTATTAATCATTCAGGTCTGTCTCCATCACCTGTTTAAAATGTCGAGGTATAGAAACAACGCCATGAATCACAGAATGATGCATCAATGCACATCATTTCAAGAGGTTTAACACACAAATTACTTTATAGGCAACATGTCTATCATCTTACAGTTTGGTATGAGTCAAGTTACAAAGGTAGTTGAAGAATAATGTTTTCTAAATTTGCTAGTCTTAGTGTGAGTAATAATTTGATCCGAAAGTGATGCATCTTATTGATGTACACTACCACAAGTTATATGGTTAGTCTACAGATGTGACGGGATTCAACTAAACATAAATTACTAGGAAATTCTTGTAAGATTACAAACCACAATTGAATATATTCCACCCATTTTAAAGACAATTTCTGAATTCTATCAAAAAAGACCTATAATTAAATTGATAAAAAATTTCAACCGATTATTCGGAGTTATATATTCTAGACCAGTTCTATCTTGGTGATCTTTCTTCAAATAATCATTCATACTATTGAAAGCATATCAGTTTGAATGCTAATGAAAGTTTTATTTGTACCATGATTCATTACAGGTAAAATAAAAGTTTACGTATTGTCCTCTTTCTTCAAAACTTATATAAACTCACACCCTCACGTATTATACAGGTTATCTCTTTTGCTGCATGTATGATCGGAATTGATGAATTTCAGTTTGCTAGTGTTCGCTTGTCGTGACATAAGAATAAAACTATTTTTCACGGAATGATTTCATTTCACTCTCATAGTCCGTTGTTAACATTTTGAAAAGATCTCTCACAGAATACGGAATATCGCTAATCATTCAGCTAGATAATCCTTCATGTACTTTTTGCAACCATTCCATCATGATTTATATTTTGATGATTGTAACTTTTGTGTTCAAAAAACATTTGAATGTTTCTTTTTTTCTGAAATAAATATACTTTAGATAATAATATAAATGAAGTTACATGTAATATAAAAAAAAAGACGATCTACAAGATACCAATTTAACAGGTCTGTAAAAGAATATGTAAATCGTTAGTATTCTCATTCGCTACAGCTAAATCTAGGTTTTTGTCACGGTCAAAATCACCAACGACAACAGAAAACGGACGAGATCCGTAACCAATCGAAAATTCAATCATATCTGCGAATGTGCCGTTGCCATGTCCGAAGAATAAACCCACAATATTACTACCTTGATTAGCGACGACAATATCTGGTATGCTGTCTTTGTTAAAATCACCCACAGAGACAGAATGAGGAGAGGAACTGGTGCCCGTTGAATATGTCGTTTGATTTGCAAAAGAGCCATCACCATATCCAAGAAAAATACCAAGGTTACCAGAACCATAATTAGCGACGACGATATCCAGTCGACTATCATTATTGAAATCAGCAACAGCCATAGACAACGGTCGCGAAGATGAACCTGTTGAACATGTGGCTTGAGTCGAAAAAGACATATTACCATGTCCGAGAAAAATTCCGATACTCTGAGAACCCGAATAAGCTATGGCAAGATCCATCCAATCATCCTTGTTAAAATCACCAATGGCAAATGACTGCGGCTGTGACATACTCTCAGTTGCGATTGTAGTTTGGTGTAAAAAACCTATATTGATGAACTCTTGAATAACACTTACCGAATCGACATAACTATTGGCGACAACAATCTCCATTAGGGTATCGTTATTAAAATCACCAATAGCTAGAGCTTGAGGATACCGACCACCTGGATACGTGAATTGCTCTGCAAAAGAGCCATTACCGTAGCCCAGAAAGACACTTACATCATTACTCTCTCCATTGGCAACAACGATATCAAGTTGGGTGTCATTGTTTAAATCAGTTAGAGCTATTGAATATGGTTTATCACCTGCTACATACGTGGTTTGATTTCCAAAAGAACCATTCCCATATCCAAGAAGGACACTCACATTATGACTATTATAGTTGGCTACAACGATATCCAACCGTGCATCATTATTCAAATCACCAACAGCTACAGACTGTGGCCAGTAGCCAGTTGAATACGTGGTTTGATTTTCAAAAGAGCCATCACCATATCCAAGAAGGATACTTACAGTGTCACCAGCTTCATTGGCTACAATAATATCTAGTCGGTTATCATCGTTCAAATCACTAACAGCTACAAAAGATGGATTATAATCAGTTGCGTACGTGTTTTGGTTTCCAAAAGAGCCATTACCATATCCAAGAAGGATACTCACATTATGGTCCCAATTATTGGCGACAACGATATCTAGTTGGGTGTCATTGTTGAAATCACCAACAGCTACAGATTTTGGATGACGACCGCTGTCATATGGAATTTGATTTGCAAAAGAGCCATTACCATATCCAAGAAGGACACTCACACTATTGTTATCATTATTAGCAACAACAATATCCAGTCGGTTGTCGTTGTTGAAATCGCCAATAGCTACAGATTGTGGATTACGACCGGTTTTATAATTAATTTGATTCGAAAAAGAGCCATTTCCATATCCAAGAAGGACGCTCACATCATGGCTATCATAATTACCAACAACAATATCTAGTTGATTATCGTTGTTGAAATCACCAACAGCTAGAGATTGAGGTGACGAACCCGTTGAATACATGGTCCGATCTGCAAAAAAGATGAAGTTAAACGCAACAAGAATATCTACATTATCACTATTATCATATGCAAGAACAATTTCTGATCGTCCATCATTATTAAAGTCAGCAGCAGCAATAATCATTGGATTGGAAACAAAGCTAATTCCAGTATTTTCTTGACCTGTAAACGTTCTGTTTCCATTTCCAAGGAAAATATCTGTATCCCGAGTACCGTAGTTGGCAACAGCGATATCCCGTTGATAATCACCATTAAAATCACCAATGGTGATGGATGATGGATGAGAATTTGAGCCAGTACTGAGCATCATTTGGTTAAGGAAAGAGCCATTTCCACGCCCAAACAGGATACCTATATTATTAGTACCGAAATTAGCAACAACGATATCAAGTCGAGTGTCGTTGTTCAGATCGTCAACAACAACATATTTTAGTTTAGAACCCACACCAGATGCATAAGTAATTTCATTTTTAAGAAATCCTCTGTTATATTGAAGCAATATGCCTACATTATTATCTATATTATTGGCAACAACGATATCGAGTCGAGCGTCATTGTTGAAATCACCAAGGGCTACAGATCGTAAATTTTCATCGACCAAATACTTGATTTGATCTGCAAAAGAACCATCACCGTATCCAAGAAAGACACCCACATAATTATTATAATAATTGATGACAAGCATATCCATCCAGTTGTCATTATTAATATCACCAACAGCTACACATTGTGGAAAACGACCCGTTAAATATGAGATTTGCTCTGCAAAAGAGCCATTACCATATCCAAGATGGACACCTACACCATTGTCATTAGTGTTGGCAACAACGATATCCAGTCGATTATCGCTGTTAAAGTCGCCAACAGCTACATATCGTGGAGAACGACCAGTTCGATACCTCATTTGTTTCGTGAAAGAGCCATTACCATAGCCGAGGAAGACACTCACATCATCGCTACCATCATTGGCGACAATAATATCTAATCGGTTATCATTATTGAAATCACCAAGAGCTACAGATCGTGGACTGTTGCCAGTTGAATAGAATGTTTCATTTCTAAAAGAGCCATTACCATAGCCGAGTAAGACATTCATACTATTGGCACCATAATTGACGACAACCATATCTAGTCGAGTGTCGTTATTGAAATCACCCACAGCTACAGCATATGGATTAAGACCAGTTGCATACCTTATTTGCTTTGCAAAGGAGCCATTACCATAACCAAGAAGGACACTCACATCATGACTAACACTATTGGCAACAACAATATCTGGTCGTTGATCGTTGTTGAAATCACCAATCGCTACAAACCGTGGCATAGTGCCAGCTGAATACCTAATTTGATCCGCAAATGAGCCATTACCATATGCAAGAAGGACACTCACATCATTGGTACCAGAATTGGCAACAACAATATCTAGTCGGGTATCGTTGTTGAAATCCACAAGAGCTGTATATTCTGGATTACGACTAGTAGAATATATCGTTTGATTAGAAAAGCCTTCGTAAGAACCAAAGAGGATGTCAATAGCACCAGTATCATTGCTAACGATGATCACATCTAGTCGATTATCTTTGTTAACATCTCCAATGGCGAGAGATATCGAAGAATAAGCTTTAGTTGAATACATCAATGGTTCTGTGAATGCCCCCTTTCCATCGCCAAGAAGCATGGCTAAATTGTTAATACCGTTATTGGTGACGACTAAATCTAGTCGATTGTCTTGGTTGAAATCACCAACTTCAATCGAGTATGGAGAAGCAGAATCGACGGAATAGGTAGCTTGGTTTGCAAAAGTTCCATTATCTTTGCTAAGAAACACTCCTATTTTCTTAATTCCATAAAGAGCAACAGCAATATCAAGTAGAGCGTCGTCATTGAAATACCCAGCAGTAATTGATTGTGGATGAGAACCAAGACTAGTAGAAAGTGTTATTTGGTTTGTAAAAGTACCGTTGGAATTGCCAAGAAGTATAACAATATTGTCCGTACCATAGTTAGCTATAGCGAGGTCTAAAGAGTTGTCGTTGTTAAAATCTCCAGCGATCAATGAGGATGGAAAAGAATCATAACCCGTCGTATATGTAATTAGACTCAAAAAGTTTCCACCCCCATGTCCATAGAATATACCTATACTATGAGTTCCATAATTAGCAATGGCAATATCAAGTAGTGTGTCGTTGTTGAAATCAGCTACACTAATTGAAATCGGACGAGATGAGCCAGTCGAAAGCTCTATTTGATTGGCAAAAGATCTATTGCCGAATCCAAGAAATATTCCGACATTATTAGTTCCAAAATTTGCGACTGCGATATCTAATATATTATCGTTGTTGAAATCGCCAACGACGACCATATTTGGAGCAGAGCCTGTGCCAGTGAGATACTCGACTGGACTTGAAAAAATTCCGTTGCTATATCCAATATATATAGCAATGCTGTTAACGATGTTATTGGCGACAACCATATCTAGTAAAGTATCATTATCGAAATCGCCAAGAGCAACAGATCGAGGACCATAATTGTATTCGATTGGGTTTTTGGCTGTTGGCACAAAATTTATTTCACACTTTTGACCTGAACAACACGTGGAAAGCAATGTAAAAATTGATTCACTATTTAAGTGCAATTATTCCTGTGAGATCTCATCTATTAAAAGAATTCCACTAATTCCTGAAATTCAGATAGAGTTTAATATGCAACTTTATCAGCCAAGTCGCTTGTTGCTTCTTTATCTGTTACTGTCAAGTTGCTTCAAAAAGTAAGTTATATCGTCTTTAAAAATGGAGAAGAATGTCAAGTAATACAATATGAATGAGTAGTGTAAGATTGCCTGTAACTACTTGGTTAAATATAATCATCTCTGAACTTTACAATTTATCCTAAGTAAGCCTAAAAAACATATAAGAAGCGCAGCGAGTGGCCAAAAGTTTGAAATAAACAAGTTTTTGCTCGGTCTGTTCGATTTTTGAACTTTCTGACAGCTCATCGATCAAACATTTATTTTTGAGTTCTCATACATATTTCGATCACTGAGAGAGTAGGGTTTGGGGTGTGGGTCTGTATGTAGTCGTAGATCCTATCTTCCTCGACGCTCATACCCTCAAGCTCAATAGCTCAAAATGCTTCAAAAAAAAGTTTGCAAAAGATTTTTTGCCGTTTTGTTCGAGTTTATTTTATTATTGAACTTGTCAGCTTGTTTTTCCATTCAAAAAGTAAAAATATAAAGAAAGGATATTATCATACGCTGGATTCTGAGATGTTCTTTTAGATAAAAAAACAAATTCAATGTATCGAATGAGAATTCAGAGATAATTTCAGATTGCCAACTCAGCTACTCTCGACCCATATGTGGTGAATATCTCCGTCAAACGTTACGGTATTAAGCTGAAGATTTTAACATAGTCTTTCTACTATGGTCTCATCGTATTTTGAAAGTGTCATGTAACATGCATATGCATAGACTAAAATCGCTTTTGAGAAATTTTTGAGGTGGTCTTAAGTGTCTCAATACTATTTTAGTCGGACTGTGATTCTTTTCTTTTTGCCCACAGTGAGCGACCTATTCAATCTGAAATAGTCATACATATTCTTTTGAGTTTTTAGTCATTGTTTTTCGATAAGATCTTATTTTATCTAGAAAAACAAAAAAAGATCATACCAGTGGGTTTCGGTGTAGTGAAGCAAACTGTCAGAACACCGATGGCTATTACTATGAATATATACACAGCACATCCACATGTAGCAATTGAAGATCGATGTCGTTCACAAAACGAAGGTGTTCTAAACAAAAAATATTCTATATGTCATGATGACTGAGAAGAAAATTAAAAAAAAAGGAAGTGTTGAAGTTGTTGCCAACTTATTCATTGTATTAGAAATAGTAACAAACCTTGGTAAATCAGGTTGATCATGTGTTGATATTCCTCGTTGCTTACTGTCGGCATCAGAAAGTTTTCCAGAAATTGAAGATTCAATTGAGATAAAATCATCAGCCATCTATGCCGAAAAAACAATATTCAACAAATTATAGTTTTAAGTAAGTAGTCAGTATTCATTAGAATAGATTCCTATAAATTACCTTTCGAGTTATCGATGATGTTCTTTCTACGCTGAAAAGTTGTGCAATTTTGATCAATAGGAAAAGATCTAAAAGGATGGATCAATTGTTTTAGCAATTCTAAATTAGAATTCCACAAAGTAAAATATTCGATTTCTTTTGAAATTATTCATCTTATTAAGTTCTATTAAAGGGTAACCCAGAAATTCTGAACCGATTAGAATATCAAATTTTTCCGTGATGAAACACTTGATTATAAATTTATTTCTCGAGTAAAAAGATGTACTAACACACATTATACAAATGATTTTTTTATTGCACTTAATAGTTCATGTACGTATTTAGATAATAATAAGCTTAGAGATATTCTTCACAAAAAAATTACCCGTGAGTCTACCAGAATAAAACAGAAAACGATCGACCAAGCACAATTTGAGCACTTAGTGGACTTACAAAATCACTTTCAAGTCATAATATTATCAATTGTAAATGTCAAACACGTCTTCTCCAGAGGAACAATTTTGTGAACTCATTCTTTCTTTAAAGAAAATGAATTCCACTTGAATAGCAGCCAGGATTGCTAATGAATTATTTATTGACTTTCTCATTTTCTACATGAATTGATCTTCTTACTGCTTTTTAAAATTGTTTCGCTTTAACAGTTCTTGATGTAGTATATCTCGATCTCTCGTTTACTGCTCTCTTTTGCAATATTCGGTTTTTTTCTCTTTAATGCATCATAACATTCGAGAGAAGTTTTTTCGGAAGACTGTACTTCAACAGCAATGCCGATTGTTATCCAAGTGCGATCCGTTGTTTTAAATGAAAGAATGAGTCCATAAAACTGTTGCTCTAGAAAAGACGTGTTTGACATTTAGAATTAATTAAATTATGATTTAAAAGTGATTTTGCAAGTCAACTATGTGATTAAGCTGTATCTGCTTGCTCTCATTTTCTATTTTTATTCTGGAAGATTCTCACAGATAATTTTTTTTCGTGAATAACATTTCTAAGTTTTTAACTTTGTAACTATATAAGCTAGTAAAATCCATCAAAAGTCATTTTTTAGAGTATGTTTCACTGCATCTTTTCATTGTACCAACAAAATTAACAATCAAGTGTTTCACTATTGAGAATTTAATATTTGAATTAAGCCAAAATTTCTAGGTCACCCTCTATAAAAGATATTGAGTAAACTATACATATACAATGTGTTAAGAACAAATAGCGTTCATCGAGAACAAATTCACTTGACTCAAAAGTGACGTGATAGAGATATGTACGATATGCTTTACTAGATATATGGGGGTGATCAATTAGAATGTAACAATGACTCGTTTCACAAAACCAATTTTTCGGTAATATAAAATGCATTTTTTATGTTTATAAAGAAAAACTAATCTTTAATATGCTACACGAGGATTGTAGCAGTTCCAATTCCTATGAGCTGACCTGATTGACAAGTTCAGTTCACAGGCAGGGATTTCGCCCTATCATGATAATGCTGATGCTTTTGAATCGCCTGTACCGCCCACAGAGTCTCTAACGATCATATGCTGATATATTTTTCTTATATAAAGTGCTGTAAAAAGTTTTTACTATGAAAATATTTTGACACTCGTGTTCTTCTCAATAAGCTTCAATTTTATCCGATAGTCAATTGGAATATAAGTAGAAAGGACTCTCTGCAATCTTTTATAGTTGAAAGCACAAGCTATAAGGGCTACTGCGAGCAAATCAGCGGCGTAGCTCCGATACTTCAGGGTATTATAGTGTACTAGCGATACTTTCAATAAAATGCAACATCGGGGTATAGGCTTGTATGAGGCGGTATGAATCAGGATCTATCGGTAAAAACGGATGCAAGCTAGTGTAGGTGGATATGAACCGATCCACGTCAATATAAGCCTTGAAAACTGGTATCAACTAGTTTGAACCGATATAAGCCGCTATAATCCGGTAGAAACTCGTCAAAGCCATTACACATCGATCTTCGCTAGTGTAAGCCATATAAACTGGTTTGAGCTGATGTATGTCCTTAGGAGCCGCTATAAACAGGTGTATATGCGTGAAAATTTATAGAAGTTAACTAGCGTAAGTTTTATAATGTTAATACCGTTTTATATCGCCTAATATCGGTTACCAATTACAAGCGGTGAAACGGTGACAGTGATTAACCGTCAGCGTTGTATCCTTGGTGTAGAAATCCACCAGTAAAAATATCGCTGCTCACGAGTAATATTGGAAATCTAGTATTACTAACCTATAGGCATGTATAATACTTGTACTGGCACATCCATACTCTCTGAGAAAAGGTGTCATAATAAATATTTCTTCAGTACCATGTTCTGAGCCTTTTTTAGTTCTAGACATGTTCGCTAGAACTTAGAAAAGGTTCAGGAAATGTTACCCACATTTAGAACCCTAAATAGTTTAGAATCTTCGCTAAAACTCTTAATGGTTCCTTATGATACCTTTTTTTTAGAGAGCTGGCTATTTATAAGGGTATATTCGTAAGGACATAGGTATGTGGCTGCAGATATGAAGGTATAGTCTATGGAGGCACGAACGTTAGTGTTATTGGCCATCAGTAATATCGACTGAGCAGTATAATAGTAATTAGGTTGCACCCCAAGTATAACCATTAGGATATAATTCGGAGAGCATCAAAATAAGGATATAGATATATGCGTGTAATTGTCGGCGAATCGTGGTTAGGATATAGTGGCAAATGTATAGTCATATAGCTATATGTATTAGCATATATTTATAAGACTACACGAAGGATATAGTCCGCTCAGTATAGTTATAGGTGCGTAAAAGACATAATATTGTAACATTGAAGTGCTCTTCAGTTGGAAAACCTATGGATAAAAAGTAAGAAAGGTGTGAAAATGCATTAGTAAAATTATATAACACCTCATACCTAGCACAGAAGCATTTTTGTTGAAAAATCAAGCATGATTACATTATTGCTTTTCGAACCTGTTGTCAGTCTGATTCATTTTTGAAGATGCTGCATTGCACTCGATGACATTAACCCATCAAAACGTAATGCTATACTTTCTTTCTTTTACAATGTAGGCATAGAAATGAGAGGTTTGCTATAGCTATTAGTAGGTCTCAATCAGTACTGAAACAGTATTCATATGTTCAGCTATTTCATGTCTAATATCGCATGTAACTTTGACTGTGAAATCTATTTCAATACGAAAGAAAACATTTTTGTATGAAACTTGGAAAAAAATGAAAGGTTTTCGATTTGTTTTAGTTTTTGATGCCCTTTCTGGGCTTCG